AATAAATTCATCAAAGAGAAAGAGAAGTGATGCGAAAAATATGAATTATTTATCCTGTGAAAAGCGAAATAATTTAAATAATCTAATAAAAATAGATATTAATATTAATAACTATTCTAAATTTTCAATGTTTTTTTAATATGCTGGAACGTGATTACTTTACAAATATGATCTGACTCTTTGTTATTTTAAAAATATGAATTATTTACGATCGAATATCAATTTAATTTCATATATAAATTTATTATTAGATTTTTTATAAAAATTTTATTCTAATCGAGATTAAGCTTTAAGGTGCAATTAATATAATTTATGCTGAGAAATATGTACATAAATGTGATTATGCAATATGTATATTGCTAACCTTGTATTACGAGAGTGTAACTGACCTCATCAAAATTTCAATGCTATCGTTTGAGTTACATTGATGAAGTTAAAAAGGCGTTATCGTTCATCGGCATTAAAAATTTTATTCTCTAAATGCACATTCGATTTTCAATAATAATAACAACAATAATTGTAGTAATAGTAATCATAACAACAACCTTGATTTTTAGACAACATAAATATCATCCGTACTAAAAGAAAAAAAAATGTCAGTGAATTTTTTTCGATAAATCAGGTCATTGAAAAAATATTTTTTTTTCGAAAGTTTTTTGCAATGTTTGTACTATAATATCGTGTAGCGTGATCAGCTCTACAAGTAAAGTCAGGTCGTTCGTTTTTGCTGTAAGCAATTGCGATGAGCTAATCTTTACTTATTGGTAATCTCTTTTGGCTCTACTCGTCTATCAGGACAGGATATTATTGAGAAAAAAGTAAATAGTGTATGATGAGAAGCGGTCTAAAGATGTCTGTGTTTGGTTGTTATGTCGCACGTGCGATCATTATAGCTTTAAACCACTAAGAATGTCGATCGTATGTTGACTATTCGTCAGTTGAATAATTCAATGCCCACGTCTAGATCGCTTATGTACACTGAATTGCGATACCGCAACTTTTATGATCATGCATAGAAAGATTGTTTGCTTTTTTGTATATGTATGCATGCATGTGTAAAGACTCTGAATTTAATCAATAGTCTATTATCTTATGGCATGAGTAAGTACAATAAATAATGAATTTTTAATTATTCCTTTCTATTTAAATATACTTTAGATTTAGTATTATTGACAATGTTCATTCCTGCCGTACGTCGAACGTCGACTTTTTAAATGTACCTTCAATCACTATTTGCTCGCTAATATCTGTTATTGATTTCGAATAATTAATTGCGATAAACATGACAATCGATTCACCTGTAGCCCAAAAACTTTCCACTCTACAAGCTTGTAGACATTAATGGACGTTTGTTTGTCAGTTCAGTTAAGTCAAGAATATCTTCGTTGTATTTATCATTAAAATTATACAACAGTGACATAAATTATCATCGGTTTTAGATTGAAAAATAATTTGCTAAACGACTCTTCATTTTCATTATATCTATACCAATGCAGCAGTTTGTCTTATGAATTATCGGCTGCTAATACTTTTGCGCTACTATATTCTGTCCCCTTTTTGATGTTTGCTATTTCATTAACATTCTACTATGTTTAATGTACTCGAAATTTTTTAGCTTTCTAAATTTAAAACTGCAAACAATCTGACCACAAAAACATAAACCATTGATTAATATTGTTTTATGTATTACTTTGATTGCTTAATTTTGCGTTTTTTCGTAATAAACATTCTTATCAAATTTAGTAAATAATCGATCAAATAAATCGCAGTTAGATAAAAGAGGGTAGAATTAAATGTTATATAAATTTTTGGATTATTCTCAAGTATATATATATATATATATATATATATATATTCATATTCATATTCATATTCATAAGATATAATTATGAAATTCAAGACGATGATATCTATTTCATATTTCAAGGACAAAAACAGCCGTGCCAGGTAAAGAGTAGAAGCAAAATAAAACATTATTAAATTATCATACTTTAGTCAATTTTTTTTACATAAATTACGCTGATAATTTTGTTGAACGTTTTTTTAAAAAGTTTGCAATTTTTTGCAAAATATTATAAAATTGACCTGTTTAACTTTTTTATGACGTATTATATAGGAGTAATAAATTTTCAATTTCTTGTTATGAACAAATATTTTTTGAAATAAAAATTCTTTCCTATTGCATTTTCAAAAATGATTAATTCCATGTATATAAAATAAGGTTTGTGTGTTAAAATGAAATATTTTACTTGTTTTGAATAAATTTAGTCATTTTAGATGATATCTATAACCTCAGGATAAATCTAAGTTGACGTTCATTCAGAATAAACTAGCTTACTTTAAAACTCAATCATTTTTCGTGATTTCCGGAAATACAATTTTAATTGGCTAATTTATTCTAAGCTTTTCGAGCTGCATTCTTCTATCTGTGATTAAAGCATGTTTTATTTGCTTTGCGTCGAATCGATTTATGTATGGGGCATTCCCCTATGATAATTTTTATTTTAGTATCATCACCTAACACTTAGCTCACTTGTTAGGAGACAGTTGAGCGATCATGCGCTCTCTGTCGGAGGTTTTTAACACTAAATTTGATAGAAAAATTATATTTATCCTGATATGGCCTGTTATGGTTAATTTTTATATTAGGCCACGTACGAGCATATCAGGATTTACCAAGAATTGTTTATGAACATATCAGGCCATATCAAAAAAAAATTTTTTCACGGAGAGAATCCCTTCTGTTTGCATCCATGAATCCAAAGTATCAATTATATTTTTAAGTTTATGTGCATATAAATTACCAATTTGAATCGCATGAATTTTTCAAGTTATAGTGTGCTTTTAACTTAACTAGAATTTGAATTTACGCGCGCAAGCGCGCGCTTTGACTATAGAGTTTGCATATATTTTCATGCTTATGATATATTCAACCAATCACGTTACGAATAGTTTGATGCCACATACATTTCATCTCAATTTTATATTAGGATAAAGCATTTTGCACGTCTCATAAGCGAGGCGTTGAGGTTGTGCTCTACTCTCGACATTTCAAAAAAAGCAGTTTTCTCGAAACTAAAATTGATTTTTTGTTATTTATATCGCACTTATAGGTTAATATGAGTACACTTATATCAAGTCGAATAATTTGTCAGGCACATAAGATATATTTCAATAACAATTTTTTTGTTTAACATAGTAAATAATAACATTTAACATAATTTTTTCTGGACGTCCGTGTATGGATG